GGCGCGCGGCGCGTGAGGGGTGCGGGCGTCGCGCCCCGCCCCAGTCGCGCGTTGGGCGAGGGTCGCCGCCGTCTGTGAAACAAGGGCAGGGCGGTCCTTGGATTGTGTGCGGCGCACCTCATAGGTCTTGCCAGACCCGCAGGGGCACTTGGTGGGGACCTTGGCGGCCGCGCCTGCCTTGGGTGCACCAAACCCCTTGCCCGCCGTGGCCTTGGCGGCGGCGTTCGCCACCACGTCGCGCGCTGTCCGCTGCGTGCCGAGCCAGGCGGAGGCGCTGCTGTTGTTGCATGGCGCGGGTCCGACTCGCAGTGGCCGCCGCTGCGCGAGCGAGTAGGCATCGGACCGATGCTGCGCCGCTGCTGCTGCCACTGGCGGCCTGCATTGGCATCGTGCCGATCTGTACGCCCAGTTATTCGCTATATGTGGCGTTAAGGATGCCATAGCGGAGAGATGCCACGTTGCCACTCCGGGCCGATCTGTGCAAGCGTCAAAGACGGAGTTCTACGGAGAAAATGACGTTCAACAACCCGCAATCAATCTCATAAGGGGTTGGTGATGAAGCGGAAGACCCGAAGGTCTCTTGGCAGTGTCACCTGTTGACCTGTGGTGTGCGGCAGTGAGACTGCTTGGTGTTGTCAGCGGAATTAGGCATTGACAGAGCGATCCATAAACACCTTGTGGCACTCTATTAGAGGGGGCGTGGACAATGTCAACCAAGGGCCCCATCATGCATTGCTGCGTACTGTGCGACTGCATCCTCCACCCCGTACATCACCGCAGCCATCAGCCAGATTTTTGGACCCTGCAAAACTGCAACAGCCTCCTGTTCAAGCACGAAAGCACACTGTCCGGTTGCTGGGTCGCGCCTGGCATGGCCGCAGCCGCCGATGCCGCGGGCTGCCTGCTGCCACTTGGTTGACCGGGCTGCCAACACGTGGTGGTGATGTTAGCACGGTGCTGACATAATAACGCTGCCACGCTGCCGTGATCGGGGCCCATGCGGGCCTCGAACGTAATTTTGCAAGTAAACCTCCCACAGATGCTCCGCCCCAAGCACCAACAACCCAAGGTCGCTCGTATCAGGTCGCTTGCAGGCTGCTCGCGCACCGCCGTATGACACTGCTGTGGGGCAACGCTGCCGGAACTTTACATATGCTTGCCGGCAGCCTCAATCAAAGAGTGTGCGAGCTGATACGACTGTTACAGAGAAATCTACAGTAATGTAAAGCTACTGCTAGTGACATGCCGCCATGCGTGAGCCATCCAGGACGGGCCAAACGCGCACGCATATGCGCGCACACACACACTCACACACACACACACACACACACACACACACACACACACACACACGCGCACGCACATGCACACACACACACACACACACACACACACAAGAAAACCCCAGGGGTCCCTGCATCGCGGGTCTGCATTGTTGAGATTCGAGCGGTGTGACTGAGGCGCCCTGTGAGGTTTCCACGCTGATGTGACTGAGACAAGCGCGTATGGTGGGTTCAAGAAAAATGAATGTACACGGCGTGTGGGTGGCGATGGATCACGCAGTTGTGTTGCCTGTGCTCGCTCGGTCGAGGCAGGGCGCGGTGAGCCCTGAACCCTGTCGTATGAGGATCCTACGAAATCAGACAGCTCGCCAAGGAGCGGCTGTGGAGAGGTTTGTGCAGCATCTCATAAGCCGGCGCGGGGACTTCAGAGCGCAGCTTGCGCTGCAGTGCGCAAACGCTGTGCCCCGATCGCAGACAGATCAAGACGTGCCAGCACTGCGCCCTGAGCGCGTACAGATTGTTGCCATAGCAGCCCCAAAATCACGTGCCTGCCGTATCCCTGCCCCATGCCCGCAAATGTGTGGGTGCTATGATCAGTTCAGTGGCGGATGTGACGGATTATGTGCAGACTCGGCGCAACCCCGAGGGCAGCCGGCGCTTTGACGGGTTCACAGCAGGCTGGTTTGCGCAATGCACCATCAGCTTCCGCCTCAATGCCAGAGCGGTGCCCGGCCCCGGATGAGTCCACACAAAACAGGCCCGACATAAAAAGTTCGGTGGTCGGAATTCGGACGCCGGCTGCGACAGGTCCAGCCCTTGCAGCGCGCAGCGAGCCGCCTGGGCGCTTCTTCATCAACGGCCGTCATGTCAGGGCTCTGCGGCCCCTTCGCCTTTTGAAGTGCTCCCGCGCGCCGCGGCGGCCCTGCCGCCGCGGATCGCGCCCGCCGCGTGCCGTGCGCTGTCGTGGAGGCGTGACAGCTCACGGCCAAAAACCTTCAGCTGCGCCGTCAGCAGGAGCCATCTCATGGAGGCTGCAGCTTCCGCCCAGCTGTCGTCCGGCCGCCACGTCAGCGCGACCTCGCACGAGTCCCTTGATGTGTGCATGACCAAGTGGCCGCCCTGCGCGTGCGCGGGGCCGCCGGTCCCAGCGCCGCCGCCGCCGCCGGCCGGGGGCGGCGGCGACAAAGGGTTGCTGCCATGGTCGTTGCCGTGCAGGCTGGGAATGGTCCCGAGCGCGTCGTTGCTGAACTGCTGTTTAGCGGTTTTGTAGGTTGAAGCGGGCGAAATGGGCCCTGACCCGAGGTCGAACCGCACGGACTGCACGGACTGCACAGCGGCGCCGTTGGACTGGCCCCAGCGCCGCCCGCCACCCGCGCTGGCAGGGACGCCCATGGTGCTGGCTTCCCGGAGGAGGTGGAAGGTGGCGGGAAGCTGCTGGACTGCGCGCAGGAAGCGGCAGAGGTTGGTGGTGGGGATGGGCACCGCCGGAGGCACGTAGCGGCTTGGAAAGTAGGCCCATATATCCTGTGGGGGTGCAATGAATGAGGGGAGGCACGGGAAGCGATCAGGGGAGAGCTGCAGAGGTGGGGCGGCGGAGGTAGATGGCAAGCACCAAATCAGGCTCCGCGATTTTGGGGTGAACGAAATGGTGCAAAACGAGTGGCTAGCGAAGGCGGCTGCGGCAGGCGGTGCATGCGCGGTGTGCGCTCAACATGACGCCGCTTGGGTAGGAGGGACCTGCTGGGAAGACCTTTGTGGTTTTGGCGCACAATGCCACGTGCAAGCTTTCACACATATTCTCTCTCTCTCTCTCTCTCTTTCTCTCTCTCTCTCTCTCTCTCTTTCTTGCGTCTGTCTCTCTCCGTCTCTCTGTCTCTCTCGCTCGTCCTCTCTTTTACCTGCTGGATGGGTGACTGATTCAGTCACACACAAACTCACATATACACACACACACGCACGCACGCACGCACACACACATACACACACACACCCCACCACCACAGCGACCCACCACACACACACACACACACACCAACACGACAGCGACCCACCTGCAACGTGCCCAGCAGGGCCTCCTCCACCTCAGCCCAGTCGTCGCTGCCCGCCAGCACCCCCACCAGCTGCGGCGCCGCCTCCGCCGCGCGCGCCAGCAGCGTCGTCAGCTTGTTGACCTCCACCACCTGCAGGGGGGCCGGAGATCAGGGGATCAGTTGACCAGGGGCAAGGCGAAATTTGAGTCCGATGAAGGTTGCGCTGTGCCACAAGTGTGGCGGCTTGAGATCTGGAGGACTCGCGTTTGTGCGCAGATCTGTGCAGTCTGCCAGCAAATGTCCTGGGTAGCTGCTGGTGACGCCATAAAAAACACGTCCCATAATGCCGTGTCATGTGTGTAAACGCAACGCATAACAAATTGTTTCTGGCTCTTACCATGCTGCAGGTGCGCTCCCCCAGCTGGCCCAAGGCCGCACAGTCCAGCTGGCGTCTCGTGCAGGGGAAGAAACTGCCCGTCGGCAGGATCACCCTGGTGGGGCGCGGGGGGGCGGCGTCCCAAACGCAGCCGACGGATGGCTCAGAGGGGCGTCCCGGCGGCAGCCCGGGCGTGCGCCGTTGCAAGCGGCTTGTGCTCGCCTATGTGAGTGCTCGTGGCGGCCTCTCAGCTGAAGCCCCTGGATTGCATGCCGGGCGAGGCCGCGTCACTCACACGGCCAGCAAGCAGTGCAGCAGCCACACTCAGTCACCTCACCTCCAGCCAGCTATGCTGCCCAGATAGTATTCGCACTCCGCCTCGCCGCACGCGCCCTTAGCCATTTCGACGGCCCTCACGACCTTGAACCACTCGGCCTGCGCCCTCAGCCGCTCCGCCGCCGACGGCCGCGCCCCGACCGCCCCCTTCGACGCCGCACCGCCGGGAGCCCCGCCGCCGGGCGGCGCGCAGGAGGCCGCGCCGCCCGGCGCGGGCGGCGCGAGCGGCGGCGCGTGGCTGGCGTGGGCGGGGGCCGGGTGCTTGCGGGTGGCCGGGAGGGCCGAGTACAACTCGGACGCGAAGGGGCTGGCCGCGTCGAGCGTGTTGGCGCGCGGGAGCACGTGGGCAGCCTTGGAGGGTGTCGGGCCCAGGTCCATCCCCAGAGAGCCCGCCCTGCGGGCGCGGCCGTCGGGCCTGAACACCTCGGCGGCGTCGTCCGCTGGCGTCGGGGACGCCACTGTGGCCGCGGCACGCCTGCCGGGCGCCGGCGCGTCGCTCGGCGGCTGGCCCGCGGCGCCCGCGCCCGCGCCCGTGCTTGTGCGCCCCCAGCGCCCCCGCAGCGCCGGCCAGCAGCCGCCGCCGCCGGCCCCGCGTGCACGGAGCGCGCGCTTGCTGCCGCGGAGGGTGGCTTTGAAGTTGATGACCGACACATCCAAGTCGAACGCCTCGACTTTCACGATGGCCTTTGGGGGCCGGCGGCCGAGCGCGTTGGCGCATAGGCAGGCGAGGGAGTGCAGGCCTTGGTGGTGCAGGCCGTATACCTGGGCGTGCGTGAGGGAGAGTGTTGGAGTGTATGATTCTGTGTGACAGAGAGGTCGAGTGTGTATGTGTGTGTGTATGACTTTGTGTGTGTGTGTGTGTTTGTGTGCGCGCGCGTGAGTGTATGGGTGAGTATGTGTGTGTATGTTTGTTTGTGTGCGTGTGTTCGTGGGAGAGAAAGGATGTTCATGTGATTTCAAGAGAGTGTGTGTGGAATCGTGTGCGTGTGTGTGTGTGTGTGTGTATGTGTGCAGCAATGCGCAGCACCGTGGGTGGGTGATAGATGTTTTGGGAAGGGGCAGTAAGACATGGGAAACCACGAGGCACGCGCCAGGGCTGCAGTGCCGACCATCAAACACGCGGTGACAAAACAGCTTCATCTCTCACTCAGAGACCGGCACCCACATCATAGGTAGACCCGGGGCCCCTCATTCACTGAGGCCCGCAGCTGCCCTTGCCCCCACGGCGGCCGGCTCACGTTGTCGATCGCAAACTCTGGAAATATGTAGACGGACACGACCCCCATGACTAAGGCCATCAGGGCGGCGGAAATCGTGAGCATCATCTCATACTTGTACTTGCTGGGGCCGTGCCAGGTGGCATTCCAGAGGGTCATCACGAAAAACATCACGCCCGGCTCTACCTTCCAATACAACTGCGGCGCAGTCGCACGGGCGCGCGGCACGAAGGGTTTGCGGGGGCACGCAAGTCTGTTGGCGGCGGTTGCTCTCCGAGCCGTGCTTGCTCGTGGGTGTGCGGCTGACTCCAAACGGCGCGTTGCCCATGGGGTTTGCAGTGCAGGCGTTGCATCAGCATGCATGCCATGGTCATCAGCGTTGGCTGCGTGCCAGCATAGCAGTACTTTGCGGCGCCGCACTGTTTGCGAGCAGCGACAGCCAAGGCGTCAACGCATGAGCATGTGCCGCAGATTCATTATTGTGGGAGGGCGCGGACCAGCCGCGACGGCGGGTTGTGTGTTGTGTGCGTGGGCGCGCGCACCATGCCTCTGTAGCACGCCGTGAAGGTGTTAGTGCTGACGAAGGCGACGGTGACAGCGGCCACGGCCCAGGGGCTTTGGCTGACGACAAATGAGAGGCCCCAGGCAAAAGAGATGCCCGCGAGCATCCCTGCCGGTGTGCGGGTGGGGCGGGGTCGAGGGTGGCGGCTCGGGCGCG